AACAAACACGCGCGTGAAACTCCGTTGCTGCCCCGGAAAAAAACAAATTGCATCCACTGTTCACATATAACTGAAGAAGGTTATTTTTTCCTCACATCCAAAAACACACATCTTTAGAGACAGTCTTCTCGAGCAAGTAACTGCAGCGCTGCCGATGACTTCAGTAAAGCAGGCTGCACACTAGACGATTTTCAAATATTTAAAGATTTTAAAACCATGGGAGACCACAGACATGAAGACAGTTCAACCGATTTTTAGCCTTATAATCCTCTGAATGCGCACACTAGATGATTAGACCAGACCACGAGACCACACACTTGATGATTGTAGGAACGATTTCACAGTGACACGAGATCTCACGGACACTCGCGAGATCAAACGTGACTAGACAAGAAAAACAAATAAGAGGACAATCGATGTTGTCAGCTGGCTCTACCGCATTCTGTTGTACAGTGAAAAACAAAAAGTATAGAAAAGAATATGGGTGATGTTCTCTGCTTTCATGGGATGTTTGTGGCTGCCAAGTTTCAGCTATAGAAGCACGCAACATCCGGTAGGTGACGCTTGCTCGCTCTCATTGGCTATCGCGTCAGAGGCAGCCCGATCAAGAGTCGTAAATATCAAACATGTTTGATATTTACGATTTGAGTTCGGCGACGCTCCGTCTCGATCGGGAGCAGTTAAATAATCGCAATGACACCACACAAATTTTTGGACAAAAAATCGCTTGCGACAAGCCGCAAATCGGCCTTAAAATCCTCCAGCCTAAGTTAACCATGAACGAAACGTGTAGACCGGCTCGCTCGAGTCGCTGAGTGCGCACGCGCGCATAAGAATCCAACTCTTAACAGTGTAAACAACTCAGAATGCATGAAATAGCATTAGACCACACTTTAAGCACAGCATATGCAGTGACAAGCGTGTTGCCAGTGACAACAGATAAGTACTGCACATTGCCAATAGGTCACATAAACTAGCACAACACAAGCATGTAACTGAAAACAACTAAATGAGCCTAAGCAAGACAGATAGCCTTAGCAACATGCATGTTGCCAAACCTGAGAGCATTAAAAGGACCTTAGCTTGTGAAGACGTTCGAGAGAGTGAAACAAAGCAGCTGTGACGGGGATGCTTGATCTCTTGATATCCTTCTTGGGGATGAAGTTCCCATCTGAACTTGTTCTTGAGTCAGTTACATAACTCGTGGAGTCCATGTCAATAATGTAGCGATGCGTGCTAACTCAGTTACTTCTGAATCAGGCAGCTTATGATCAATGCGGTGAATTCACGTGTTTAAGTTAACGATCTTGAATGAATCGGTGAGTCCATTGGGGAAATGAATTCCACTCGCTAAATTCCAGATTCCTGCTAATGGTGTTTTGCCTGCTGAATTCGCCTTTTAATTAGCTATTGAGACGGGATGCTTGATCTCTTGATATCCTTCTTGGGGATGAAGTTCCCATCTGAACTTGTTCTTGAGTCAGTTACATAACTCGTGGAGTCCATGTCAATAATGTAGCGATGCGTGCTAACTCAGTTACTTCTGAATCAGGCAGCTTATGATCAATGCGGTGAATTCACGTGTTCAAGTTAACAAACTTGAATGAATCGGAGGTGAGACCATTGGGGAAACAAATTGCACTTCTCTAAATTCCCGATTCCCAGTGATGATGGTGTTTTGCCTGCCGAATTTGCCATTTAATTAGCTATTGAGCAATGCGAAAACTGCTGATAATACTGAGGGACCTTATATATAAATGCTTAGATATAGGTGTCGTATAGATGGGGATCAGCTGAGAGTCAGCTGATGCGAGCTTGACTAACGTGACCTGCCAGAACTGACGCTACACTTGATAACAATAACATTACCAATGATGTCTGGATTTTAAATGACAACATGACTGACAACAGTTTATCTAATAACATGCACGAAATGTTCAAATAAAGCTTTGAAAAAGTTTCATTAAATGGTAAACCTCACATTTCAGCCTTTGAATAAAGAAAACGGGTTAAGTCAAACTGATTAATAAATGATTATATGTATTTTATCTGCTCCCTAACTAATTCTAGATATCTTATCCGAATTATTTAAATGTGTAGAATCCACATAAGCTTGTTTTTCATCAACCGGTCAAAATTTACAGCAGGGCATGCAAATTAGGTGGAGGTTAGGACGATTCCAAGGGCCCCCGACGAGGGAGAGGGGGTCTGGAACGTGTTTTTTTTTTACCAATGGGGACCCCCCTTACATTGCAATCACAGAGGGGGCCCAGAAACCATAGTGGCACCCCTGATTACATGGCAGAGTTGAAAACAAAATGCCATATAATCTTTTCTGAAGACAGTAAGAACCTTCAGAGGTACATTCATATAATTTAATTCATTCATATATTCATAATTCCCTTAGCACTCTTTTAAAACCTCCTATCTTTCCGCCATGTTTTCACACAAAACAAAACTACTCTGTGTGCTGTGCACATGTGAGACTGTTACTTAAAACTTTGCTTTATGCTGGACAGTAGTTATTAGTTTATTTATCCTGAGTTGTTCAAATTGCGGTAATAGAATACGGTTTTAATGATGATTAAAATATTAAACGGTATACTAAAAGTGGCTTTGTCACTGCTGTGTAACGTTCCTGAACATTTTATCATGATTTATTGTAAAACCTGTAATCGTTTAATCCCTAATAGATAGTCTTGAAATGTTGTAATAACAGTAATTAATTTGAATATGAACATTTGATTAGTCATTGTAAATCATATAGGTGTGAAGTACTGGAAGGTTTCAGAAAGTACATGTTAAGTGCCTGTACATAGTTAAAGTCTATTAAAATGGTTAAGGTTTAAATTCTAATACAAACAGTATTTCAATCTACAATATAAATTTGAATTACATGTGTTCATGTGATTATTTGATTGTATGCAATGATGTGCAAGTTTTCTCATTCTATTTTTTTTTTAAATATCAAGTTTAGTCACTGTCCCAATTTAGCTTAACATGATAAATTGGAACAGTAGCATTCAGCTAAAGTGGGACATCCTATAAATAAAAATGTAATACATTGATTAATGTGAGAAATTGTTTTGTTTTACAGAAAATGCCACAAACTGTCGGCAGAAGCAGGGAAAGAAAAATAAGAATGGAAATTTGAGAAGATTAGGTTTTTTGTGCATAAAAAGTGCTTGTTCTCACCCACACTTACATATAAACACACAAATATGAAAGCATGTGTTACACACATACACTTAAGCACACAGATGGATACAAACACTTACAAGCAGGCACATCGTAGATACAATTTTGGCATTTTTATACTACACGTATACACATAATATACATACAGTCATGGCCAAAAGTTTTGGCAGTGAAATAAATGTTGTGTTTTGCAAAGTTTGCTGCTTAAGCTGTTGTGGTGTTCATTCACATTGTTTCTAGATTATTGTGTAGAGTGATCAGATGCATTTTAAATAATTGCTAAAAGCTTCATTGGCCAAAAAAATTTACTTTTCACAAAAAACTAATTTCACTGTTTTTTTTTTATCCTGACACAAAATGAACTCCGAGAACTAATAAGGCAAGAATGGATCGCCATCAGTTAGGATTTGGCCCAGAAGCTAATATCCAGCATGCCAGAGTGAATTGCAGAGGTTATGAAGAACAAGGGTCAACACTGTAAATATTGACTCATTATACTTTTTTTGCCAATAAAAGCCTTTAAAACTTATGATATGCTTGTCATTGATTTTCAGTATACCATAGAAACGTGGAAAAATTATCTACAAATATTGATGCAGCAAACTTTGCAAAACACAAAATTTGTCATTGCCAAAACTTTTTGCCATGACTGTACATCAATTATTTTTGTCCTTATCAACTCTTTAAATTTGTACTTCTCTTGGAGTGCTTTGATTCAATAAATGTTACGTGTTTATGAGTTCACAATCGATATCATAATCTGCTCATATGTCAATTTTTATAAAGTTACTCTTTTAAATTTAGAAAAATTTCTGTTGAAATACATTATGTATAGGCTACAATGTCCTGTTGTAAGAAATTGTATTATCTAAGTACAAACTAGATAAAAAGTAAAGGTCTGAAGAATAAAAATGGGTACTTAACATAGGCCTAAGTGCAATAGTAGAGAGTGCATCTCTGTAAAGTCAAGGTGCTCTCTGGTCTAGGGTTTGTAATAGTCCATCAAAGAAAACTTTAGGATGACCATGGCACTGGCACCACTTTAGGATGACCATGGCAAAAGCATTTTTTAAAACACGTTGGAGAGTTTTTAAATGTTTTGTATATAGCCATCTGATAATAAAGGCTTTTTAATCTAAAGAATGCCATGGTCATCCTAAAGTTTTCTTTGATTCATTTTTGAATCTCTGTATGTTTAAAAAACAACCCATATTCCTTCAAAAAAAAAAACGTATTGGGTGATACAAGACAATTTTTTTTTTTTAATTTGTAATTAATACAAAGTTTACCAAAAAGTGTCCCACTTCTGCTGACTTCACCCGAAATCTTTCTGTCAGAGCATGAATCCCAGACATTAGGATGTAATATAATTGAAAAATTACGTCAAAACGAGTATATTATTAATGAAATATATTAATGTTACAGAAAATATCAAGTATTTTATACTAGGAAAATAGTCCATAGCCTACATTTAATGGTACCATACACACACACTGGATCTCTCTTGCTATTGCCTAGTGATTAGAAGGGTGTAATTTACATTCATCCACAGTCTTGGTTGTGTAGGGGGTGTTCTGGCATTCTGCTAGAGTTTACCGCAGCAGGTTTGCCTCCGGGTCACCTTTATTATGACTGTAGAGGACCTGAGGGCGGGAGCGCACAATCATCACGGTCTGTGATATTTCTCAGGGACCGAGCAGCTCTGAGACTCTCTACTGCGGCGGCGAGCACGGCTTTCCTCTCACGCAAAGCCCTTAAGACTCAGTGTTGTTTTTTTCTTTATTTTTTTCTTTGCTTACCTCTGGTCGATAAACTCCGCATGATCTAAACATTATTGTTCCAATTATGCGACCCAGAACAACTTTTGCCCTCATCTTCAGTCAGTTGCTTGCTGCGTAGCGATAATTAATTCATATTCCGTTTGAACGACGGATGAGCATCATGTTAATTGCTGCTGGATTTATACTGGTTTGCCGTGCTGCTGGATTAATCAGGGCGCGCAGCACGTTCTAAAGTGTTTTTGCGACATGGAGTCGGATCGATAATGATTTTAGTTGGGCTGTAATACTGACCGCACTAAAGGTAAAAGTCTTCGTTGGAGTGGATCCTGAGAGCCTGAATGTCTGTGCAGTAACCGCAGGGATTAAACGCGAGTGGAATCAAAAGCGCGCGGCTGATATGGGTGAGTACTTGGAATCCTGGGATAAAGTTTATCCTTGACTATTGATGAGTATTCATGAGAAAAAAAAAAAGATATATATATATATAATTTCAAAGCCATGTCATATCAATTTCTGATTTAAAACATTAATCGGTCCATTTGTGTAAAATGAAAATGCACTCTTTCTTTAGTCTTCACATATATCTAAAATGAGGAAACTGCATTTTTCTTCTGCATTCCTTAGACAGGTATTATTCAGGGCAATATGAAAATCATGTCAGGCACAGGTGTTTAACGTCGCATTTCAATGAAATTTTGGCTTGCTTGTCCAAATGACTGTCTTTCTGGTATTTTCAACGCACAAATTAGTGATGGGAAATTCGACTCATTTCCCCGAATCGGTTCTTCCGAACAATTTGTTTCAAAGAAGCAGTTAAAAAAAAAAACTGCGTTTTACGTAAGCACGTGGTCTCTGACATCGAAGTGTGCCATCATAATGGCCTAAAACTTTAATATAAATCTCTTTGTGTTCACATGTTGTTTATTACTGTTTTCCTATTGTATTTTTTGTGATTTATTTTGTCCCAGTTTAGCTTTGCAGCCATGATTTAGTTCATTAGGACCCTAAATATAATTAAACGGTACTACAGTTAATCTCCGATGAAAAATGTTAGTAGCCTATGTTTTAATAAAAATGTTAGAACTAACTCACTTGGCTTAAAAAATCTTGGTTCACAGTTCAGCTTGCTGAGCTATTTCATTCATTCATTCATTCATTTCTTTCGGTGAGCCATAAAAGATATGTAATGAATGAAGCCAAAAAAACTCAATATGGTAAGCTCACCTCCTATCCTAAAGAGAATATGAAATGTCCTAAATGTGATTGATAGTTCAATGGAGCATCCAGTCAGTGAGGAAGGTTTTAGTCCGTTCCATTCACTCTTTTTCTGGACCATTTTCTTGTCCTCAAAATATAAACGGTGTAAAAATCTTATGGAGATTTTTCTATCTGGTTCTTAAAAAGAGTGATATTTCATTAATGTATTTAATGTATAGATATATATTACCTGGCAAAACACTGTTTTTACAGTGCAGCATACATTAATTTAGCCTACACGGGAGACTGGGGCTAGTTGTCACAAGTTTAGTGAATATTTCTCAGGGTAACTTTTTTGAAGGCAAGTTCTGAATAGTTGTATACTTTAAAGTCTGAGCTACAAAAAAAAAAGAAAATTTCCAAAATTATTCCCTAGGAAAAAAAAAAAACAGACACAGTGTGAAGACGCACTGACCTTTGTTACAACATGCCCCAACAGTAGGCTATACATTTTTAACATAAAAACACATATTGCCCTGACTTGACTTTTCTGAAAATTAACTTGTCCTGAGCCTTTTATAGCTGAATTCTCTGTTTATTATATAGTTGACCCTTGTCTGAATTCATGTAAACATTTTTTTTGTTCTTTTCACATAATTTGTTTACATACTGAGTTAAGAACTTCCTTGAATGACAACTTGACCCTGTGTTCCCTCTCCTGTGTATGTATTTTATATAAATTATATTAATGGTGAATAATGGTTTGTAATGCTTTTACAGTGAGGGTAGTGACCCTTACATGGTACTTCATGTTTTAAACATGTCTTTTGTAATTCCTCTTTATTTCCCTCTCTGAAATTTTGCTTGCTGCATGTCTAATTCTGCATCTAATTCAGTGTTGAATTCCAGAATCCCAAACATACTAATCAAGCTAACATGATTTCACATTTATTCCTGCTGAGTGAAGAGTAGAGATGGGCCATGGCAAGGTCGGGATGATGGATTGCACTTAGAAATTGCCAATTGTCATGAAAATACACATCTACATGAATCAGAATGAGATCCATTCTTGAGGCCATTATGTTGATCACTAGCTCTGCATACATGCTTCAAAAGCCTACAGGGAAGGCTTATATTAAAACTACGGTGCTTTATCACTTTACCATACCAAAAATCACTCTTTAATATGTCAGCCCTTGCATTAAGAGTAGATCCAAGGATTTAAATCCAAGTGAAGTCTAAATATCTCTTTTCTAACATAAAAAAACCCTTTACGGATGTAAAGTGACTCACATTCGTCCTTTGCTTTCATTACACAGACCTTGTTCCTTTCAAAGCTGGTATTTCTATCTTGGTTTGGCTGGAAAGAGTAGAATGTTTTCAAAGAAGGCACAAATATTTTCATTTCACTTGGTTATATCAGCATACTCATTTATCTTTTCAAATGCAATACCTAAAGAAAACGTAACTGAAAAGGTTGTTAAAATTGCTGCAAGCCTTGCAAATCTTAAAGAGACATTTCACCCAATAATGAAAATTCTGTCATCGTATACTCACCCTTTTTCTGGAACACAGGAAGAGATGTCTCATTAAAAAGTTTTGTCCATACAATCTAAGTCAATGGGGTCTTGTTGTTTCGATTTCCATTGAATTTCACTACAGGGTCAAAAATAGTGAAAACATTCTTCAAAATATCTTCTGCTGTGCTCCACAGAGAAAAAAAAAGAAAAGAAAGTCATACTGGTTTGGAACAATGACAGAACTTTCTTTTTTGGTGAACTATCCCTCTAAAAACCATGGACACAACAAAGTATACAGCTGCACAGAATGAACAAGGAAAGACGACTGGTTTCTCTTACTGGAGTATGTTTAATTTATTTGCGAGTAGTCACCACCAAACTTTTATCATTCTTAATCCTGAGCACCATCATGAAGGCTGTTCCTTAAAGCGGACATAACACACAGTTTCTGCCAATCTCATGTTAATCTTTAGTACCTAGAGTAGTTTTGCATCATGCATATCTTATGCAGAGTCTTCAGTTTGATCAGATTTATAAAGGAAAGATACAGCTTTACGCTTCTCTCTGAAAACAGTCGAGCTTGTGGAGTCGTGCCGTGGGCGGAGCTAAAGAGTCACAAGCACGCCCAGCTTTTGCGTAGCGATCGTCTGCAAGCTGTGACATTGACATAAAACAGGAACAAAAACTTTATCGACTTAAATTAAAATGAAATCAAATTAAAATCCTTCTCGAGCAAGTCCTTTGCAGCACTGTCAACGACTTCCGTAACTCGAATGAAGCACGTTGATGGGCGTGTTCTCACTCTGGTTGATGCTCACGCTCTTCCTGGAGAAGTGCCCATATAAGGAATCCCACCCTTTATGACATCATACAGGGCCAAACTGGGGAAAAAAATTCAGAAACTTATACAAACCCTGAAGGAGTGTATTTGGCACAGAAATACCCCGTCATACGTCCAGCTTTTTTTTTTTGAGAAATGTTGGCCATGTTTAGCATGAGAATCCAACTCTTTAGTAGTGTAAATAAGTCAGAATGCATGAAATAGCATTAGACATCTCCTTTAAGTACAATTCACATGTACAGTATATCTGTCTTACTGCAGCACACTTTATTCATTGCAGTGGATTAAGCTGATTTTACAACCACAATAGTGCCATAAATAGTGCTTTTAGCATAAATCACACTATTGTTCTGCGTTCCACATCCTGACTGAGGCACGGTTACAGCACTCTTCAATCTCACAATTAATGTGCTTTGAATAATGTGCCTTAAGTATACAGGAGGTCCATCATTTCAATATCGCAGCTTTGGTTTGACCATGTAAATGATGTGTCTGAGCTATGGTTTCATATGGATAAAATCCAGGATCCCAGTTCTAAAATCAGTCAAGAGTTACTATCTCTTGTTAAATACTGGCTGTATTCCATCCTGCTGAGTGATCTCTTATTTAACCACCCTAAAATTTCATTATCCTAAAATTTTTTATGATCTTGAAACTCATTCATCAAAGAACCACTATGGGCTCCATCCAAATAAAAAATCTCTGTCAAGATGTTGTTTTGGAATCTGGAGAAGTTAAGAAATACTTTGGGTGCAGAACATATGAATTTAAGTTTTTGTTTTTTATTATCTTAAAGCATGGAACGAACAAAGCATGTCCAACTCCACTGAGCCATTACATAAATGTACCATTTTATTTGATCAAAATTGACATTACACCCTAAAACTACTTGTGGAACCAAAAACTGAACACCTCATATAGATTAAATAAATATTACATAAGAAAACTTGTAAAAAAAAAAATATTTCTGCTATGTCCATTAGTGATGTTCGGTTCTTGAACGAATCGTTCGTTTTAGCCGGTTCCCAGGAAGTAACCGGTTGAGCCGGTTCACAAATCGAACTGAATCTAACTTTAGTTCCGGGTTGATGACGCAGGACGCACAGCCGAAGTAGCACGTCCAACTCAAAAAGAACCGAATGAGCCGGTTCAACCAACTGTCGAAGTTTGCCGAGGATTACCGAAGATTCTGATGAGCGAGTTGACAATACTATGCAAGCCTGAGGCGCGTACTGGAAATATGCTTATTATGACTGTTATAATTTACATTTTATTAAAACTTGCAAAAATCTTTGTCGAGTGATGTCAATAAATTTTACAATAGTTTATTGTGCATGCATATTATATTTAAAGTTGCTTAAGCGGAATCAAGGAGTTTATAAGACTGGTTTATTCATTCTTTATACTGTAGACATGTAGAACATATGTGCATAAATGTCTGTAATGTGTGCTGTAGGTGCGAAACTTTTAGGAATCTTATCCAAGTTGTAGGCTAGTCAATATTGGTCAGTCAGTCGTAGGCCTATTTGAGGATCCACGACTGAAACTGTGACCACAAACACCATTACCTTAAGTGAATTATATGGCAATAATCAGCAATATGCTTTCACAGAAATAACTTTATTTTTTAATGTTTCGATATGCGTTGACACAAAAGACTTATTTGGATTTTCCATTGATACAACATGGAGTTGTTAGAAAATAAATGCGTAGAGTTATTGCTTGATGACGTCAGGAACCGATGAATCGGCTTTTTGAACCGATTCAATAAGGACACCGCTTTGCACATTTTGTGTCTCGCCCTTATTTAACACACCTGGGCCCATATTCACAAAACATTTTA